AAGATCATCCTATATATGACCATCGGTAGACTCAATTAGAATTTCTATACTTAACGGAATTATTAGAAATTCATATTGTGTCTGTGTCCTTGTTCCACATAATCTCATTATGCGAAAAAATACTTATTCAATATTTCACCATATTAACTGTGCGGATAACACCGTTTCATTCTTAATGGGAATGACATGTATTAATAATGTTTTAATTAAAGATTCCGAACTTTAATTAAATTCATTATGAACATTACTTTTTTATTATTATCCTTAAACATTATCCTCTCGTATATAACACTTATATACAATGTTTAAGGTTACATAAATAACCATGAAATTTTCATTGATATTCATAAAATATTCATAAATATATGCACATAAAATAATGAATAAACTCTTTTATTAAATAAATAATAAATATCCTATTACATCTCATGCTTCTAGGATAATATTCCCAACAGGGGCTACCAACCAGAGGCTCGTGAATAAGATGTTCGCTCAACAGCTCGGTAAAACAATGGAGGTCTACGTCAACGATATGCTTGTGAAAAGCGCCAGGGCCAGCCAGCACGTCGACCATCTGGGTGAAATGTTTGGTGTATTGAGAAAATACCACATGAAACTAAATCCCAAAAAATGTGCCTTTGGAGTTGGGTCGCGAAAATTCTTCGGTTTTATAGTCAGCAACCGAGGGATAGAAGCTAACCCTGAGAAGATTAAAGCCCTACAGGATATGCGGTCCCCAACTAAGCCAAAGGAAGTGCAAAGGTTGACAAGATGTGTCGCTGCCCTAAACAGGTTTATATCAAAAGCAACATACAAATGTGTCCCCTTCTTCGATGCTTTGAAAGGAAGTAGGCGCTTTGAGTGGACATCGCAATGTGAAGAGGCCTTCCAGAAATTGAAAGAACATTTAGGCAAGCCCCAAATTCTGTCAAAACCAAACCCCGACGAGGAGCTTAGCCTATACCTCTCCGTGTCCCAACATGCCGTAAGCTCCGTACTAATAAGAGAAGAAGAAAGGGTGTAATTGCCAATCTACTACGTGAGCAAAAGGCTCCTCGACGCCGAGTCGAGATATAGCGAAATGGAACGCTTAGCCCTCGCCCTAATGGTAGCTTCAAGGAAGCTTCGGCACTATTTCCAATCCCACACAATATGGGTTCTTACAAACCACCCGTTGAGACATGCTCTACAAAAGCCTGAAACTTCCGGGCGACTTCTCAAATAGTCGGTAGAGTTAAGCCAGTTCGACATTAAATATGTGCCAAGAACTGCGATCAAGGGCCAAGCGCTGGTCAATTTTCTAGTCGAGTTCTCCCATAGACCAGCTCCTGCCACACCTGAAGGAGTCGAGAATACAGAATGGAAGCTCTACGTGGATGGAGCGTCGAGCGATAATGGGTCAGGAGCCGGCGTCTTGTTAATCAGCCCAGAAGGCCACAAGATTACCTCGGCGGTTCGATTTAAATTCAAGGCGTCAAACAATGAGGCAAAATACGAGGCGTTAATTGCGGGGTTGCGATTGGCCAGCCACCTAAAGATCGAGAGGCTCAGCGTCTTCAGCGATTCTCAATTGGTCATCGGGCAAATGAAAGAAGAATACCAAGCGCGCGGCGAGAAAATGAGAGCGTACTTAAGAAAGGTAAAGGAAGAACTCGTCAAGTTTAAAAACTACGAGATACTTCAGATACCACGAGCAGAGAACGTAAACGCAGATGCTCTAGCAAAGCTAGCATCTTCGAAAGATTCTGACACACTAGGGGTTGTTCCCATCGAAGAATTGGAGTACCCGACCATTGAGGAAAAAGCTAAGGCATTAATCGTCCAAACAGATGAAAATTGGATGACGCCACTCATCCAATACCTAATGGACGCACAACTGCCAAGCAATAAAGACGAAGCCAGACGGATCAAATATAGGGCTGCTAGATACTTATTGTACGATGGCTTACTTTACCGACGAGGCTACTCAACACCTCTATAGTGGTGCCTGGATGATGCCGAAGCCCAGAAGGTCCACCGGGAAATCCACGAAGGAGTCTGCGGTAATCATACTGGGGGGCAGTCTCTAGCTCTTAAGGTTTTAAGGCAAGGATACTACTGGCCCACGCTAAAAAAGAACGATTTCCAATACGCCTGACGTTGCGATAAATGCTAGAGGTATGCCACAATTCCTCGAGCACCCCCAGAAAATTTAACCTCCATTCTCAGTCTATGGCCCTTCACCAAATGGGGGGTTGACCTGATCGGGCCACTACACCTTGCACCAGGAGGCTTTAAGTTTGCCATCGTCACGGTAGACTACTACACGAAATGGGCAGATGCAAAGGCTTTAACTACAACCACGGAAGCAGCCTGCACCAAATTCATGTGGGACAACATTGTGTGCAGGTTCGGGGTTCCCCACTCAGTAGTATCGGACAACGGAATAGTTCGACAATGCCTCAACACGCAGATTCTGTGACAGTTTGGGCATTCAGAAAGGCTTCTCGGCGCCAATCCATCCACAATCTAATGGACAAGTCGAGGCGGTCAATAAAATATTAAAGTATACCCTCAAAAAGAGACTCGACGATCTAAAAGGGAAATGGGCCGAGGAACTCCCCAAGGTCTTATGGGCATACAGAACGACGAGCCGAACTACTACGGGTGAAACACCCTTCTCCATGACGTATGGCGTCGAGGCAGTGCTCCCTGTAGAAATCAAAACACCGACCTTAAGAACCGTCGTCCACAACGACGACGACAACACAGAAGGCATGAACGGAGAACTCGACTTATTAGAAGAAAAGAGGCTCGACTCCCAACTACGTCTTGCCTCCTATCAGCAAAGAGCGGCACGATATTACAACAAGAGAGTTCGACAAAGAAGGTTCGTCCCAGGAGACCTAGTATTAAAAAGGATAACGCATAGTACAAAACCCAAAAATACTGGTCCACTAGGCCTAACTTGGGAAGGGCCCTACCGCATAAGGGAAGTGTTGCATCCTGGCACCTACATTTTGGAAAGTCTCGACGGCAAAAGAATTCAACACCCATGGAATGCAGAACAGCTAAGGCTGTACTACCAATAGTGTATGTAATTCTTACGCATCCCAATTGTACATTCTTTACAAATTAAATAAATTGATATGTTTACAGAAGGAAAGGAATCCACCCCTTAATAACATGTCTGCTTAAAAAATGAAGGTATATTAAACGAACATGGGGGGACAAAGGTCCACAGATCACTAAAAAATGACACGACGACCCCAATGGGTGAAATCAGCGTCAGATCCTCAAAGGAGGAAAGACGAACACTTAGCAAAATTCTAAAGAATTTTCTAAGGTGACAACCCCAAAGGGTGAAATCAGCGTCAGATCCTTCAATGAGGGAAGACGAACACTTAGCAAAATTCTAAGGAATTTTCTAAGGCAACGACCCCAAAGGGTGAAATCGGCGTCAAATCCTCCAAGGTGGAAAGACGAACACTTAGCAAAATTCTAAGGAATTTTCCAAGGCGACGACCCCAAGGGGTGAAATCAGCGTCAGATCCTCCAAGGAGGAAAGACAAACACTTAGCAAAAATTCTAAGGAATTTTCTAAGGCAACGATTGCAAAACGAGGTATGAATAAAATCTGCTATCTTTATAAAAAGTACAGATAAAATGAAAAGATGTCCAAATCAATGTCAAGTTACAAACATAAAAAAAAAGGTAAAATTTTTTTAGGCCTCGCCGCCAGCCGCCGATTCATCGCCATCACCAGGCGGGGAAAGGTTGTCGTCTCCAGCAGGAGGCGAAGTATAGAGGAAGCTCAAGTCCCACTCAGGACGCTCATTTTTTATCAAATCAACGATCTGTCGACCCGCGAATTGAAAATCCTTGGTACGGATGTCGATGAGCTCCGGATAAGCCTTGAACTCCTCAATAATTTTAGCACGCTTGGCGTCGAAAGTAGCTACAGCCTCGGCTTCGGCTTCCCTCTTCCCCTCGGCTTTCCCTTCGGCAAAACATTTTTTCCCCTCGACCGAAGCAGTCAACTTGGTCAGTTCACCTTCCAAACTCGACAGTTTGGCCACGGCCACATCTCTCTCCTCGACGGCATCCACGCACTTTTTCTTGGCGTCGTTGATAAGAGAGTAAAGCTTGGCCTCCACGTTGCCCATCTCCTTATCACGCTCCTCAACCTTAACTAGGTCGAGGAGATTGAGAATGGCGAGGATTAGGCCCTGACAAATTGGAGGTCAGAAAACAAGGATACAAAGCGGCGAAACCAGCAAAAATGAAAGACAGCTCGATCAAGTCTTACGTGAATTTGGAAGGAGATCTGCTTTCGCTGGCGATCAACCAAAGAAGATTGAGTGGCAGTAACCCAGTGTGGCTCGAGAAAAGACTCATACAGAGCCTGGAAGGCAAGGGAGAAGCGGGGGGGGGGGGGGGGGGAAGCGGGGGAAAAGTTTCAGCATCGCCCCAATCTTGGCATCAGAAACGTCCGGGACTTGGAAATTGGGATCCATAATTTTTGCCCCCGGGATAAGCACGCGTTCCCTTGGCGCCAGAGGAACGTTTACGTCAGGAATGGGGACCGTCGGCGTCCAAGTTTCTACCACCGGCGTCTTCTCTTTGCACCTCTTTTTTAGTGCCTCCTCCGACGTCGAGGGGACCTTTGTGGCTTTCCTTTTCCTCGGCACCTGAGAAGAAGAGCTAGCTTTCTCTTTTCCCCTAGAAGGAGGTTGTTGGCTCGGCGGGGGCTGCTGGCTTAGCTCGGACGGCTGACTGCCGGGAAGCTGGATCTTCAAAGAAGCCATTTCTACAAAGACGGTGAGACAAAGATATAATCAACGCTTGGATAAACAAAACGCCATTCTAAGAAAGGCGGCAGGAACAATGGTTTACCTTCGTTGCTCAAATGGAAGTATTCATGAACGGCGTCGAGGTTAGTAGGGTCTGGGAGATCGAGGATTAACCCGGCACTTCGAAGATTGGCCTGGGTCAGGAAGGTGTCAATATGACGAACCTCGGACGGGAACGAGAATGCCTTCTTAACCCTCGCCAAACTGTTCTCAAAGAATTTCGGCTGGTCCTGACTGACTGAAGGATAAAAAGACTGTCAGCATAAGAAAGGAGAAAGCAAAGTAAGGTGAAAGTGAGAGAATCAAAGTCTCACTCATGTTCCCAAACGACGCGTGCACCTTCCTTTGGTGGGGCAAGCGGTCGTCGGGATGAAAATTAAAGGGGCCACGTATCATAAAGAACATGGGTTTCTACCCATGTGACGACGAGGGAATGCCTAGAATTAGCTTGTCAAATCTGGGTTGAGATCTCCCGTGCCAGCTTAGAAAATACCACCCCTCGTACTTGGCAACATGGCACAGTCTGTACATGAATCTAAACTCGTTCAGAGGAAGATCCATGTCAAACTGCTAGTTCCACAAGATCCAGGCGCTAGCAAAGCAGTACCAAAAATTTGGCGCCAGTTGGGCGGGGGAAATGCCATAAAAGTGACAATAATCTTTTACGAAGGGATGAACCGAAAGGGTCATCCCCGCAGTAACGGCCCTGGTATAGACAGGGAGGAATCCGGTCGGGGGCATACTGTTGGTTGCCGAATCGAATCCGGCTGCGGAAGCGCGGTGGTGCGGGGAAGAGATGGATCGTGTATAACAAAAATTTTCATAAAACTTTTGAGATACTCTATAGATTATATTAATTTATGCACGAATAAATTAATCTCATTAACTTATAAAGATCAAGAACTCAATCAGGAAAAATACCTGGAAGCCGACTCGGATGATAACTTGAGTTCTTTGACCACGAACAGTCCTTGCTCCAATCTTTGTGTTTAGAAAACCAATGTCTTCCACATCAATTCCTAGAATCCACGAAGACATGTGTGTGGGCACACATGAGACAAAACGGGTTACAATAAACACTCGAATTTCCACAAACACCATCACATGCACGATGTGGAATTTTTGGAGAAAAAATTTTTCCTTCCTTTCTCTCTTGAGAATTTCGGCCAGCCTTAACTCTTAGGGCTGAAAAATTGTTTCCAAAATTTCTCTAGAGAAATTTCGGCTACCTCTAAAATTATGGCAAAAAACCATTCCGAAAATTGTCTCAAAAATAATATTTATAGAGTAGAAGTCAAACTTCTAGAAAGAATCCAATCTCTATCTCTAAGATAAAGCTTGTTAATTATCTCATATTTGAATTTGAAACAAACTCTCCTCTTATCCTTATCCATTATGGC